AGGCGCGGGATTACAGGCTGAGCCACTGAGACTGGCTTCGAATGTATCATTTTAAGTGACATTTCTGAGTCTTTCGTTAAAGATCACCTTCAGCAACACCCAATTCATCCTGATGGATTTACTTTTGTTATAACTAATTCTTTCAAATCTAAAATCGCTGGCTCCAAAGAAAATGATATTTGTAAACCTGAATAATGTTATTTTAAAACAATTATTCAAGATTCCCAGGTACACTTGAGTGTCTAAGCCCTCCCACGAAATTAACCTTGGGTTTTAACTCCTGGTCCTCCTTGAGAGACTTACATTTAGTCCCTCCCTTAGAAGCCAATTGTCCTTGTATATGGGCTGCCCTTGTTGTTTGTGTCTTCGTGCAATGACATGAGGAATGCTGGCAGGAAGTGTGTCCGTGGCTCGACCAATCCTTAAAGTTGTTGAACCTGGATGTATGACAACGATGAAGTTGCTCTGGATTTGCTGTGGATATAAAACACAGGTACATGACTTTAGTAAATAATATGCAAGTAACAAGTTAGAATAAGAAGTTAGCTTCCTATAAAGACTATCGGACTCAAAGGTATCAACATAATTCAGTAAAAGGAGCTCTTTGAGAGGTATCCTATTACTGCTCTCTACCTCAACACAAACTAATTTGTTTGCTTTTTAAATCTGTATAGATTTATGGGGTACAAATGTAATTTTATTGCATGCACAAACTGTGTACTGGTAAAATCAGGGCTTTTAGGGTCTCCATCACCCCACAAACTCATTTTTTATTTGTGTTCCCTTGACCTGACTCATAGTACATAGCTCAACAAATATTTGTTTAAATGATTAAAACCAAAATTATTCAATGCTAATTAACATGTAATTATTGAGCATTTATGAACAGAAGGAAATATTGATATAATGGTTAAAGGCCCAGGCTCTGGATTCGCAGAGCTGGCTGTAAATTCATACTAAATTCACACTTTTTTGCACTGGATGAAGTTCCTACCTCATAGCTTCATAGTATTAAATGAATTAATCAAGTAGCTTGGAGCCTGGCCACAGGAAGCATTCTGGGAATGCTAGCTCTTACTACAGTAAGCCCTTAAAGTTCTTCACTACCTTCAGAAGAAGCCAGACTCTTTGGCTTATAAGATGTTCGTGATATGGCCCTGCTCAGATCTCTAGTCTTCTTAATTCTAGACAACCTGATCTACTGGCTATGGCTCCAACACCTCACGTCCTCTATTGACCAAAGTCTCTTCCTTGCTGTTCTCCCTCCCTGAGATTTCTCCCCTCCCTCTGGCTAGCTCTTAATCATCTTCAGGTTGCAGTACAGATGTCCCCTCCTTTGAAGAAGCCGTCCCTGTCAGGGCTGGAGATACTTGCTGCACATGCCCAGTACCCCCCCCCCAGGAGCCCATTGAATACCATGCTCTTATACTTGTTTCCCAGCTTCAATTGTGTGTTCTCCCCTCCTTAACACCTTAACACAAGAGGGTAGGAACTGGCAAAGCCCTTACAGACCATCCCACCCAGTCTCCCTTTTGACTAAGATGGGTGGAGAAACTAGGCTTGTGCCACTTACTTTACAGTTACCCCTCCAGTGAAGTATTAACCCATCTACAGGGAGGAAGCTGGCTCAGACATGTGTAATTCTTAGCATTTAATTCTTCCTTCGGTGAATTGTGCATTGCCTTTGCCCGTTTTCTCATAGGAATATTGGTGTTTTATTTACTGACAGTGCATGTGTGCGCAAACATATAAAGATTCTTTGCTTGCCACGCTACTGCAAATAATTTTTCTGGTTCATCTGACTTACTCTTGCTCTGTTTTTGACACACAAGCTCTCACTGTCTATTGAAACCAATGTCAAGTTTTTTCTTGATTTTAAGCTTGAAATGACTTCCTTCACCTGAGATTTCATTAACAAAGGAAAAAGCCCGAACTTCACACTATCGCTTAATTACTATAAGCTGACGCTGCCGGTGAGCCAGCCTGGTGCTAAACTCATCTATCTGTAGTCACTTAAACCTCACAGGAGCTTGGGAGGCAACTGAGATCACTGCCGTCGTTCTGTGGCCGGGAAAGCTGGGGCTCAGAGCCCGGCCCGAGCACACCTCGTGCCGGTGGGCAGACGGGAGGAACGCAGAATCGGAGCCCGGATCCCGCCGGGGCCCGCCGCGCAACGACCAAGAGGGGAACGACCACTCCCCTGCAACACCCACCAGGGGCTGGGGCCGGCGGCGCAGGGGCCAGACCCCCCCGTCGGCCTCCGGGCCTGCCTTCCCGACCGAGTTCCGCGGCGCCCGCCCCAGCCCGGAAGCGGAGGACCGAGGCTAGCGACCCCGGTCCTGAGAGACCTGCCCCCCGGCGCCCCACCTCTTGCAGCGACTCTGGTACCAGCGCCGGCACGATGGGCCGCTTCACACCGCGCTGCTCCTTTTCCTTCTCCCCGCCTTTCTCCTTCCCATTTTCTGCGTCCCCTTTCTCGGCTTGGGTCATCGTGGTCGCCGACACCCACCAGGATTGCGCCTTCGCGCCGCCGCAACGAAAGGCAACCGCGCAGGCGCACGGCCGACTGCCCACAGTCAAGATGGCCGCCGCGGAGCCGGCCAGAGGATTCCGGGAAAGACGGAAGCGGGGGACCGTCCGGGCGCGCGGGTTGCGACATGGATCGTGGATTGGGTGGATGCGATTAGTTCTGGCTGTGGGAAGTCAGCAACGTAACAGTATTTTTGAGCGCCTACCGTGGGCCAGCTGATAACCAGCATCTCCTTTTGTCCTCACGAGTGACTTTTCTCTGGGCTTCCGAGACACTGTACGTACACAGATCTCCTCGTACTTCACGCTCAGGTCAGCCTTTGATGTTGGGGTTCTCTGGGACTAGGTCTCCTCTAGACACATTCATTGGATGACTTTATCCAGTTTCCTGGTTTTCACTATGAAGATGAATTCCAAATATATATTTCCAGTTTGGACCTCCCCCATAGATACAGACTGATAACCAACTGCCTATCTGGAATTTCCGTCTGGATTGTCTACAAAGCACAACGAACTTAAGTATGTTCAAAACGGAACTCTTGATTCCCTCCCTTTCCCCAAGCTCTACATCTAATCCATCAGCAAATCTTGGTCTCTAAAATACATCTGGAATTCATCCACTTCTCCATTCCTCCTGCCACCCCCAAGCTTAAGCCACTATCATCTCATCCAGATGACAATAGCCTCTTCACTTCCTTGTCTTCCTTACTGTTTTAGCAGTTGCCCAATTTTAAAGTACTGCAAAGCAGTTAAGACAATACTAGGTAGCAGTGAAGACGATACCATCACTCCACTTAGAACATTACTAACGAGTTATCTCAAACAAAAAATTAAATGTCATACCCATACTTTAGTCTCTCATAGTGTCCTTTTGTTCAAGGAACAGAACCTATACTAATCACCACCTATAAGGCCTTACTTAATCTAGTTCCTGCTACGTTTCTAACTTTACCTCACACCACTCTCCCCCTTCCTTGGCACTGCCATGCTACACTTGTTTACTTTCCTCAGATATACCAAACCCTTCCTATCAGGCTGTTGCACTTGCTGTTCTTTTTGCCTTGGGTGCTTTTCCCTTAGCTGATTCATTCTCCTCCTGTCTCAAATCAAGTGTCACCTTGGGCCTCCCCTAGTTCCTTTGAAGCATGAACAAAGCATTTGTCTGTAATTATTTTGCCTGCTTACTTACTGCTTCCCACAAGCCATGTAAGGAAGACTTTGCCACTATTATCTTCAGTACATGGTAGGTGTCCAATAAACACTCACTGATTAAATACTGCTAAGTAAAGAATGCTTTGAGGTAGAAATTTAATCCTCATTTTATAGGTTTGTAAACTGGGCTAAAATGACAATTCACTCAAGAACATAAGCTCAGTAGCAAAGACAAAATTCGAACACAAGTTACCCAAGAGACTATGTTCATCACTATAGTGCTCTATCTGAAGTATAAAGTGGGATAGCTAAATGTCAACTGCAGTCAGGACTCTGGGATAAGACCTGAGGAACAAGTCTTGGAGCAGCAGTCCTGGGAGGCAGAAGAGGATCATAGGTACCATGCTCAGATCAGCCATCAATAACTCTAAGCTATCAGCTACTGAGACTCAGACAAGGTTTCCTCTACTATAGAGTTAGGTGGAGGCTTTACAAAATGACTTTGCCATTCACTAGTCATACAATCTGGAAGCTACTCAACTTTACTGAGCCCTTTCATGTATCTGTGTAATGCAAATATCACCTGCCTACTTCACTTTGTGAGAATTAAAAATGTCTGACACAGAATTCAAGTAGTCAATATTAACTGTTATCCTTATTCTAAAACTTGTGCTAAATAATTGCTTGTTTCCTTATCTTTGAACACCAGTGTCTTATGCCACTACATCCCTATTTCCTGACAAATAGGGGTGAATAAATACTGATAAATAGATATAAAAAAGCTTTCACTTGACCACTTTAGCTTCAAAGCCTGTTAAACACTGGAAGTAAAATTATCTGTTTAATTTATTTTTCCAATAAATACTTAAGTGCCTATAACATGAAGTCACTGTCCAAAGGATTGGGGTTAAGAAAACAAAATCCCTAATCCTGTAAAGCTTCCACTCTAGTAAAGGAATGTGAAAGTTATCTATATTCAGATGGAGTTTAAAGCCAATAGTTAGTATTTTAAGCAATGGTATAGAACTCAAATTTGTCAAGCTAGCATTGAAATCCATGATTTGGAAAACTACCTAGTAAATCTTCATTTTTAGCTGTTTTGTTGGCTGTAGTTTTATAAATACCCTGATAATTATATTTGGTAAGTCAGACATGTATAAAGAGACAAGTGTATTCATGAGACAAATCTATTAAAGATAAAAATTAATTCAAGAGCACAGATATTATATGCAAACCACTGAAATAAATACAATGTGATTTATAAATGAGAGCAAATCAACAATAAACAGTATTTCAGAAGGTGAAAAAGGTGAGACTAATAGTATTGAATACACAGATTTTATTTTCTTCAGATTCAAGAGTTTTTGTGATTTAATTATATAAAGATGAGGAATCACTTCTGCAACCTAAAAATACTTACTTATTAAAACTATATTAATACTTTAATAAACTATACAAAAAAGATGAGACAAACATGTGCATTTATAGAACTGCATGTCAGTCAGGCCAGTTCCCTGCAGAGGGAATTCCCAGCATGACCTCATTCATCTGTGAAGACACAGAGCAATCCTTGTTTAGACATACACATTCATCTACTTGTCCAGCATGGTCAGTTCTTCAATTCTTGATGGTTTCCTTCTACTACTATGAATGTGCATGCCCAGTTGTCTGCTTCTTAGAGCAGACATTTACCTAAAAGAAAATGTTATAGTAATTAGATATTAGTTATTAATTTGGGTCCGTATGAAAAGTCCAATACAGTACATGTTATAAAACCTTTCTCAAAAGACCTTTTGACAATAAAGTCAATGAATTTTTCAAGGGTTACGATAACAAATATTTTTCCAAATAATAATGTCTGGGTAATTACAAAATGCTGGGCAACTTCTGTTTTTCTTTTTCTTTTTTTTTTGAGTTGGAATCTCACTCAGTCGCCCAGACTGGAGTACAGTGGCCGCTCCCGGCCACCGCAGCCTCAACCTGCTGGGCTCCGGCAATCCTTCCGCCTCAGCCTTCCAAGTAGCAGGAACTACAGGTGCGCGCTACCATGCCCAGCTAATTTTTGATTTATTGTAGAGATGAGGCCTCACCAAGTTGCCCAGGTGGGTCTCGAACCCGCAGGCTCGGGCAATTCACTCACCTCAGTCTCCCAAAGCACGGGATTATAGGCTGAGCTACCGAGCCCGGCCCAACTTCTGTTTTTCTAAAGAAAACATTACAAAGAAGCATTTTCTAAACAAAATTCTACAAAATAACTGCATATTTTAAGTTACCTTCCTCATCCACCAGCCATTGGAGGGGGACTGGGGCCACGCAGATGATTGATTCGACCCATTCTTCGAGGAGGGTTTCCTGGTGGCCTAATAAAAGAAAAAACTAACGTGCTGTGTAGTAGACACAACTTCAATTGCTTCCTTTTAAACATTAAACTAGAGCCTTTTCTTTTCAATACTCACATGACCCTAAAATATTAAAATAGGAAATACCATTTTAGATCAGGAGTCAAAAATTCAAACACAGGGGCCAGACGTACAACACACATGAGGAAACTAAGCAAAAAAGGTGATGAACTAATTGAATAGCACCTCCTGTAAATGCCTAGTTGAAACCCAGCTCCAGGTGATTTTTGTCATGTGGAAACGTAAGCCGAACCTAGTACTGCTTGATCTTCTAAGTTTTGCATTAGCGGCTGGAAATCTAGATTTTACAGTGAAATCTCTAGATTTTAATGTTGGCCATCAGTTTTCATCCTCTAATTGAGATTTTTCCAATAGGATATTTGATGTACATTTTAGCTTTGCCAGATTAACTCTGATTATCAAAGCAGAGACAACTTGACTTTTAATTTATAGTAATGTATTAATTTTGTAAAATGGGATTTAAACTTTTAATTTCCGTAAGTCTAACTCTACCCACCTAAAATATCTCCTTAAAACATACAAAGGAATAAAAACAACTATTATTAATGTACCCTCTTCCATCATCATATCTGGAATCAGATGAGCTTCCGTAGCCTCTTCTTTTTTTCACATCTTGCTGAAGCAGAGTTTTAAAACTGAAACAAGGGGCAGAAAACAACAGAGGTAACACTTTCAACTTTATAAACTATTTCCACAGTTTTAACTACTGTCTCTGGAGAGAATAACTAAACCTACTTACCTCCGAACCCACATTTCTTGCAACCAGCTGGACAACACCATCCAGGTTAAGCATGTCTAAACAGAGCATGCTATGTTGTGAGCCAAATCCACCCTTCCTTGTATTTCTTATTTGCTAATAATGCCCCTGGATAGAGCATGGAACCAGAATCATTCCTGACCTTCTTCCTCCAGTCTAAAGCAGTTGTCAGGTTTTTACAGTGTCCCACATTTTCACTGCCTTTGCATTTTCCCTGCCAACAGCCTACCTAACATTACCTTAGTGAGGATATGAGGGTATGGCAAGGGTATGGTAGAGGCACAGGACTTCTGGGAATCCATTTAAATGGATTTTTTTCTTTATTTGTGGAGAGGAAAAGATTTAAATAAGATTAAACAGCAGTCTTATAAACAATATGGAGCAGAAGCAACTTGTCAAACACTTGAAATAAGTTTTGCACTGGGTAAGTTCGAGCCTCTCATGTCTCCTGCTCTATTTGTCTATGAAACCATTTTACATTCTATCCCACCTAATTTATACTGCCATCAGCCATAAAATTAAACCTTCTAAACTACAGCTACAATCAAATTCAGCATAAAGACTACAGCCTGATATACAAACTTCTATGCCATCTTTTATATGGTTTCCTCCACCCGGAATAACTTCCTCTTGTCCCCTCCTACAATCATGCCCAACCCAGTACTCCTTGCAATATGATGATATATACTGACAGTAAAGTCAATGGAGAAAGAGACTGTCTCCCACATCTTTGCATTGCTGCAGTTCTCTGACCATGATACAGATTCAAACTTAGAAATGAGTAAGACTTAGTAGTAGTTGGTAAATAATTTTCATAAAACAAACAGCATGAGAAAGACCAAAAATTGTATTTAATTAAGAACTCCTTACAGTTATGGGGCCATTTAAATTTTTATCTCCTCTGTATCTACTCTAATCCTTTATTTAAAAAAGTTTACTACTTGAATGCTTTTAAAAATCAAGATATAATTCCCCTTATTTACTTGTTGTATAATATGGAATAAAAGTTACACACACCCACAAAAACCAGGAATAGTAGAAAGAAAAGTACAGTCATTTGGCATTAAAATGGACAGGGCTGGCTACTGGTTGAAATGATTACTACCAAGGTTAAAACATGTCAAGTTTACCAACCCAATTAACATATAATCATAAGATGTTTGGTGGTAACAGCTTTATCACTAAAAAAGTTTTAATTTCCCTTTGTAAGGCTATTTTTAAAATTACAATGAAAAACTGCTTTGGGAAAGTTGAGCTTATTTAAGATACCAAACATAATGTACCCAATGTACTTCTGTCAACTTAAAATATCAGGGCAATCAAGAGCACTACTAGGCCAGGTGTGGTGACTCAGCCTATAATCCCAGCACTTTGGGAGGCTGAGGCAGGAAGATCACTTGAAGCCAGGAGTTTGAAACCAGCCTAGGCAACACAGCAAGACCTCATCTCTACAAAATAAAAAACAATAATAATTTTTAAAAGGAAAAAAAGAGCACTACTATACTTACAACAAAACCACAAACTCGGCTATTCCCCAGAAGAAATCTGTTATCAAAGATAATCTCCATGGAGACTGACTCCGGCTGTCCAACACTTGTCCTATAAACAAGAATAAAGAAACTTCCATGAGTGCTACAAATCCCTTACCCAAGAGGCATTACATTTAATTAGGAGGTAACAATGATAGACTCAGGTTTCAACTTTTCCATTGTTTCAGAAGAAATCTACTATATGAACATCAGTCTAAAAAAAGGTTTAGAGAAGTACAGCTCCATGATCTAGGCCATTCCTTTAATAATGTCAAATGCCTACCTACAGTTTATAAATTTTGATGGGTTACTTCATTCTATTCAAGCATTTTTCCCCCTCTCTTTGTATTTATACATAACCAAAACTTACCATTTTAACTATTTTTAAGAATCCAGTTCTGTGGCATTATATACATTCACAGTGATGTTCAACCACCACCCACTTCTAGAACTTTTTCATCTTCTCCAGCTGAAACTTTATACCCATTAAGGTCTGACTCCCACTACCTTCTCCATCCAGCCACTGGCAACCACCATTCTATAGAGACTTTGTCTCTATAAATTTGACTGCTCTAAGAATCTCATAAAAGAGGAATCATACAATTTTTGTCCTTTAGTGATGAGCTTATTCCACTCAGCGTAATGTCTTTGTAAGTCATCCATCTTGCAGCATGTGTCAAAATTTTCTTCCCCTTTTCAAACTAAATATGTATACTACATTTTGTTCATCTACTCATACTTGCTAATGGACACTGGGGTTGCTTCCACCTTTTGGCTATTGTGAATAATACTGCTATAAACATGTGTGTATAAAAATCTCTTTTAAGTGTTTTGAGGAAACAAATGGGATGGATGCATATAAAGGAACACTCACACCACTTCCACTTTCCTAAGTGTGTTGAATACTTTTCAGTTGCAAAGTGTCTTGTCTGTATAAAAAAATTGTTTATACATACTCTTCTAAGTCTCTAAAACCAGTTATTTTGATAAAATTCTTACAGAAGGAGCCTGTATGCTCTAAGTACTGAAGATAATTTGGCTTGTTCCTCATTACAATGACCACTACTTTCTACAACAGCATGCTCTTAACAGACTACAGCTTTAACTTAAGCAAAACTGGATCTATTTTTCAGATCACTTTAATAGAAGCTACAATATGAGAAGTTAGTACACCAGAATTTCAGCCTTGCAAATGAAGTCAGAATATTTTGGGGGAAGAACAGCTGTCAACTACCTCCCCTCTCCATTATCAAAAGGATTTCAACTCCATTCACCTCTAACCCCTAAGCCAGAATTTACTTCTCTTTCCTTGACAAGCTTACTTTCAGGTATCCACTTGGATCTAAGCTCTCACTGAAGTATTGAGAAAACAGGGCTGCACAAAGTCAGATGGTGGATGATAGGCTTGGTTCTGCCTCTTACCAGCTGTGCTTCTCTGGCTGCTGTGATGCTTACCTTCTTCGAGAAAAAGTATTCTAAGGCTAGTCATCAAACATGATTGTTGAAAAAAAATAATTCATCTGTGAGTAATGTGAATACTTGGCCAAGTACCAAGTGCTGATAAATACAGCTGAATCTAGTGAAAACTCATTCTTCCTTTGTTATTTTATCATTCTATCTTGCTTTTTGAACTCTCCCTCCTAGTTTCTGAGACTGAATCCCCACCCCATAGAGGTGCTTGAATGCGGTTGCATTTCTTAACTATGGAAGTGAGATAAAAGGTCCTAGCCAGCTATTTATGTGGATTAAATGAGATAAGTGCAAATACAGTAAGATACTACAGATATAAGGAATTATTCAATAATGCATACAGAAGCTTCTAGCCTTACTCATAAAGGATATAAAACGAACTAAAGTCCTCAAGTGCCCAAAACTAAGATGAAATTTTAATGCTTCTCTTTAGTGTCCATCAACCTATTTCAAAAACTTTTAAGTGAGAAATTAGGAGGGGAGATTCTGAAAAGTAAGGAAAGCAAAGATGACCCAGCCAGAAGAATTCTCACTGATTCGCCTCTGGAGATAAACAGATGATGTACACAGAACCAAGACCCAGTTCCAGTGATGCAAGAACTACTTGCTAAGATTGCACCAAGAAATGTCACCTGAGTCAAACAGATGGCCAAGCAGTCTGGCACTGATCTGATCCAGTCGTATCGTGTCTGTCATTTTCTTTGCAAAGTCGCAGAATTAGGTCTCCCCCAGATTCTCCATTCCGGTAATAATTAACTTGCTCTTAGGGGGTAATGGTACTTTTTCCTATGCCCCTTGAAATTCGGGCAAAAAAAGTACATCTATGAGTAGGTACCCTCTCCGAAGGAAAAAGTCTATCCAAAGTTTCCATCTAATCACCATCCTAGACCGCCTCGGTCTATGACACATTATAGTAGGAGACAGCAAGGTTGATAACAAAGAGCTGACGTCAGACTACCTGGGTCCGAAACCTGACTCAGCTATTAACTGTTAATTTTATGATCCCGGGCAACCTATTTAATCTACCTGCGCCTCAGAGTGTCCATTCGTAAAAAAAGCCTGGGATACTAAGCAAATAACGCCGTAACAATGCCCAAGGCACAGGCGCTACATATACAGTATCAGCGTCGCTGTCATCAGTAGGTAAGAGTATCGACGACCGAGAGGAAACACCACTTTCGCAAATCCACAATTAAAAGCTTGCTGTACGAGGGCGAGTTTGCTGGGTTCGAGTTTGCTGGGCTCTCAGTACTCAGCTTAAGGACGTTGGGAACCCGGCGTGTCCTCACCAAGGCGACCTCAGCCCACCACTGCCGACTCTGGAACCATCGGCTGACGCGCCGCAAGCCGGAGCGACTTCGCATCCAGCTCCGCCCAGTCGCCGCCGGCCACTAAGCCAGGGGAAACCGCGCAGCGCCCAGGGCCCAGGGCCCAGCGAATGACAATGGAAGTAACGCGGGGTTCAGCCTTCCAGGTCGCCACCGCAGCCCCTCCAACTCACCATTCGAGATGTAAACCATCTTGCCCCTTCCCCGCTTCGGAGCAACTGGAGCGCCTGGCCCCTCTCGGTTTCTGTAGCTCCCTCCGCGTCAAACGTCACAGGCTACGATTAGACAAAACGATGACGAAGAACGGAAGTAGGCAGAGCCCATTGGCTACTGCAGAAGACACGCCCCCGACGGGCGTTTTTAGCTCGTCACGAAAGCGACTTCCGGTAAGGCGGAGGTTGTTGCACAGGCTACCGGATATGACGTTAGGGGTTATGCTGACGGTGGAGGATTTTTTTTGCACCACCCCGGAAGGCGGGGCTGCTTTCTAGTTGATTGACAGGCTTAGGGTCGGGGTAAGCATGGCTGCCTTGTTCCAAGTTGTTTGACGACCCGTTGACAGGAAGAAATGCCCCAGAATCCTCCAGACGTGTTGATATTTGAGGGTGTGGAGCTTGTGAGATTTAGTAAAAAGGAAGTGCCTGAGGTGGTGACTCTACTAAAGAAACTTTATTGTCGCGCTTTTGGGAACATACTACCAGGCTCCCCTAGATGTACTCATGCTCTTTTAAAGCAGTGTATCTACTTTGGGTTCACCAGAAGTGGAGTTTTTATTAGCTTTTGTGAGACAACTGTGAAAAATAAATTTAACCGTAGCATAAACCTTTTTTCTGACTGTTTCTTATTGATGGCTACCTCTTGTCAGCATTGTGGAGGTGACAGATGAGTTAGAAGACTTGTCTGGGGCACTCACTAAATTCGGCCCACATACCCTGGGTATTTACTCTGTTCCAGCTACTGGGCTACTTGAACATGGCCATCTCATTCCAGTCCTCTGCATTTAGCTATTGTTTCTGCGGGAGTGCTAATGGCTCCACCTTCCCCCGCCCCCCACCACAAGCCATGGCTATCCTTGGAAAGGTTCCTAATCACCTTCCCAAAAATGAAAATCGCATTTTAAAAGTAGCGATATTTTGTACTTAACAATGTTGGTTAAGATTGTATGCTTTAATACCTAGAATCACAGATTTAATTTCATTTAGACTTTATAGAGCATTTTCCCCCCAGAAAAGTGCATAATGGAAAAAGACAACATACGTCACCTCTTCTGGAATTTTTGTGGCACAATCATAGAGGATCATTTTTGCAAAAATATTGGAAAGTCATTAATTTTCCCAAGGGCCTTTCTTAAGCTAGATCTTGCCACCATTATCTCTCAAGAAAATATAAGACTTAAAAAGGTCAGAAATTCTGTCTGTCTTGTACGCTTTTATATCTTCAAGGTGTATCATAGACCTTGGCAGGTAGTAAATAATCAGATATTTGTTGGTCAAATGAGAGACAGAGAGAGAACTTTCCAGACAGTTCCTTAAAAACTCCCCAATTGCCAAAAGAGGAAATAAATTAACATTGAGATATCCTGAGCACTATACATTGCCAGGCTATTTCTACCACTCCATTCCTTTATCTACATCATTTCTTCCTGAGATTTAATGCAGTGATTTCCTAATGAAATACCTCTAGCTCTCTACACGCTGCTTCATGGTATATTCAACTGCTAGTTTAATCCAATCTTGCCTCTTCCCCACTCAAACTTTCAGCCTCTCCTCACCACTTGCCAAATAGCATCTATCCTTTCTGATCTGGCATTGAGGGCTTCCCCAATATGTCTTAGAGTTTGTTCTCTGACTGACTTCCTAATAGACTCCTTGTTTTTCTGCCTTGTTGTCTCTGCTCATGTGTTTCTGGAATCAGATTCAGGTTCAGGTGCTCACTGCTCATAGCCAAACTTGAGAGATGAGAGTTTGGCAAATTCCACCTGGACAATAGAGTCCTCAGTGAGAGATGAGAAACTCATCTTTCTGAGTTTCCATCTTCTTTTGCATCCTGGTCAAGTGATTCCTCATTCATTTATTAGCTCTTTGATGTTTTAAAAATAATTTTTGCCATTCTTTGGTCCAGGTTTTTATAGTTGTTCTAAGAAGGAAAGTTAGTAAAAATTGCTCAGTCCTCCATGGCAGAAGTAGAAGTTCGTACGTTTATTTAACCAAATTAACATGACAATGTAGAGTAGGTCTTCAATTAAACTCTGTTTTCCTTTTGACTTTAGAAATTCTGTTATTTATGTCTAAATTTTCCAGAACAACTGCTGTTTGCCTAGTATAGTCAAAACACATAAGTACTTATAAACAGAAAGGATGGTTATAAGTAGTAACCCAAAATGTGTGGGTAATTTTTAAAAATTTATAGTGGTTTTTCTTCTTTGAAAACTTGCCCATGGCAGGTCTTCCTGCCATGAATCTGCCTTTTTCTCTTCTTTCTCTAATAAACTTTGTTTGAAAACTTAAAGCAAAAAAAAAAATTATTTTGCCAATAAACGTCCCACTTTTAATCTTTCCCCAAACAGATGGGTAAAACTTTACTTTGGCTTGACACTCTATCCTTTTAATGGAAGATTCGATGAAAATAGGTTTATTTAATAGTCTCAGAGAAAAGTAACTTATTTATGGCCCAGTGATGACTGTTTATGGGAGGGATTGTTAACTAGGCTTGAAAAAGGATGCTATTAGGGAGGTTGCTGTGACTTCTGCTCAGTGGCTAGGCAGGCTGTTGTTGATGGTTCAACATCACTTTGTTTTTTCTTATTGATTGTATAACACAAGCAGCTTGGTTAATATTACCCAAGAATAAATATGGATCTCAGAAAAAAAATCATTTTTTACAATTGTCTGTAATTCATCTCTTTGCTATGAAGCTCGAACTTGTTTTTGATGGGAAGTATGAAACAGAGACTCTGAAAATGGAATCTGGCAACTAAAGAAGTGTTGCTTGATATTATTTTTTCATTCCCTTTGAATGTATTTAGCTACCCCTTAGTGGCACCCAGTCTTTCGTGTTTAAATTGAGATGTTTCACAAGTATGTTGGAGACCATATGTGCAGAAAAGTGGAGAAGCCAGTAGAAATGGATGTAGCTGCCTTGGTACTGACCTGTTTCTGTGCTCAGCTGACTTGCAAGGAGGGGAACAGATGTAGAAGATGCCCACAGGGCTGGCACTCGAGACCCAGAGCCATAGCCCAGGCATGCTGCTGCAGCTGTGGTGGCTGCATGAACAACTCACACTCAGATTTAGTAGGTGAACTGGGTCCTTAGGAGCTCAAATTTGGGACTGTTCTCACATGGGGAAATATCTCTAGTCATTTCAATTGAGTTGGTTTTTAGAAGTGTAAAATTCCAAAGAAACCCTGCTAGCTTACATTTTTCATCATAAATATTAAAAATGTTTATATGCTTAACATATAAACATTTCCAATTCTATAATTTATTCTGAAGAAACAATGAGAGATGTTTAAATATATTTATGTTCAAGAATAATTACCCAGTGTTATATTAAATGGAAAAAAAAGGAAGCCATGTAATTGTTCAACAGTGGAGATTGGCTAAATTTTAGAATACAATATCATACTGTACAGTAAAGTAATGGGAAACCACTCATATCGTAAATTAGGTAAAAAAACATTACAAAACAATATGTATAACATGATATTAATGAAAAAAGGAATGTATTTATATAGAAATATATGAATATGGCATTACAGGAGATATAATTTTTTTCCTTGTGCTTTTCTGTAGTTTCCAAATTTTCTACAATAAACACGATTCCTTTCATAATTAGAAATAAATGTCAGTTTTTTTAAAAAAAGTTACATTTGTTAGAAACCGAGGGTTCATTACTAGTTTCATTTTAATGGTTTGGATAATTCTTTAAAACTTTTTTTTCTTGTAGAAGTGATAGAAAATTCAATACTCAGGTTGTTAACTTTTGGAATACATTTTAAAGGCAACTTTATTTCATAAGATTATCTTTGGCTCTGCCTGAGAGGATTTGCATGTATAAGAATAAACATGGGCAACCCACTCAAGTGAATTAGTCAAAAAAAAATTTTTTTTTTTTTTTTGGTTTTCTCTACGTATGAATAGAGTCTAGTAAGAAGCAAGGAAACATAGTTTCAAATTCCTTGCTTGTTAGCTCAAAAGACTGCTGATTAAAGTAAAGTTTTATACATTCAAATTTTGTGAATGGTCTATTAGCAAGGTTGCTAAATAAAAATATTCATTTTAAACATATGCCTTTTCAAAGTTATATCATACTGTGAATTTAAAAAAAAGTTTGTAGGTCTTTAGCCCTTCTTTTGGGTAGTAGACTGATTATTGATAAACACTAAAATCACCCTACCAGTATTTTGACCATACTGAAGAACTGATCTGTGAATCAAGAAAATTTTTGGAATTTGATATGATGACAAAAACCCCAAAGCAATCCTCAAAACAAACAAATAAATCCAAATATTGCTTTGTAAATGTTTGATCGAATCTATCTTTCTTTAAAATAATCTAGAGGGTAGAGAAAAGTATATTGTGGCAACTGTGTCTTCTTTTTAGGGAAAAAAAAATTAGAGTCCACATCAATGATTTTTGCTTTCTAGTTAGAAGGCACCTTCTGAAAATAGGCAGAGAATCAGTGCTGAAATTAAGAAGTTTCTTTAGGTACTCATACAGTAAAATACAAAACTTGAGCTGCCTTTTAAAAAAGAATGGACAAGGGCTGCAGAGACCTTGATTTGTTCTAAGGCTCTATGGGGTCAAGATAATTTGGGGAGACTGCCCCACATGGTGCCCACCAAATGTGCTCTGAAATATCCCCCTTGAGCAATTTGTTTTCTTTAACTCTTACTCCCAAATAAATGATATTTAAACTTTAGGAATAAGTAAATCATTTTTGAAATCTAAGACCAGAGAGGAAAATGATTTCATTTGACCTCATGAGGGATGAAACACTTACCCGGTTGGTATGATATGGGCCAGGGTTTTAGTTCATTTTCTGTGGCTATAACATAATACCACAGACTGGGTAATTTCTAAAGAGAAGAAATTTATTTGGTACAGTTCTGCAGACTGGGAAGTCCAATATCAAGAAGATGGTATCTGATGAAGATCTTCCTGCACCATCATAACATTGCAAAAAGCTTATTGAGTTTCGGACTCACAAAAACAAAACAGTGTTTCCTGGGAATCAATAAAAAAGTAAAAACAAAATTAGTAAAACAACAAAAAAAGAAAATAAGATAAAATAAGGTAATTTCCATTTTAAAAAATAATAAAAATAAAAAAATAGAACCACAAATCCCTTCATGAGTGTCCCACCCCGTTGACCTTACCTGATTTTAATTACCTCCCA